CCCCAGAATCTTATATGAGCAGGGCCTATCTGTAACTCTTCAGTGCAAACAAAAGGAGGATCAGAAATTCCGTTTTTTAACTGCTATCAGGAGGAGGATTGTGGCAAGTCAAAATGCTCTTGTGATTCACATAAGTACAGGCAGGGATCTTGTTCTTAGGGAGACATCTGCCCATCTATGACTAGTCTTAGACTCCACCAACAGCACCAAGCAGATCTTGAAGACTGGTTCAAGTTTATCATCTGTAAAATGTGTCAGTTTTTGTGTATCTGAAAAAAATGACTTCTGTGAGGAGCACAGGCAAAGGAAATAACAGCAGAATAATCAAAGAACCTGATAAATCTGCTGTTCTTCATTTTGAGATGATCCACAAAATGCATTGTTAGTGAGAGTCCAAAGTAGGTTTGATAATGTCTGTATTAGCACAAAACAAACTTTAATTAGCCAGATATGTACAGATCGGTTTTACAAATTGGGAATTCCTTTTGTATATAATATAACTGAATAAAAGAATTTAAAGAGCTTCACTGAGCTAAGTGAAAAAAGTTAACCTCTTGTAATTCAGCCTAGCAGTGGGGTAGATTTACTAAAACTGGAGCACTCAGAATCTGGTGCAACTGTGCATGGCAATCAATCCCCTTCTAACTTCAGCTTGTTCAATTAAGCTTTGACAATCACCCCCGGTTCACACATATGTGGCCGTGCAGACTGCATTTTGGATGGGCACGAGAGCCCATTCATTTGAATGGACTCCCGTACCCCGTGACACGCAGGGAAAAAGTCCCTGCACTTCTTTGGAAAACGCAGCCTGCACGGGAACCTCGGTTCCCAGTATGGTTGCATTTCCAGTGCGGGTCCGCATTCCTCTGTGCGGGTGGTGCGGCTGCACGGATTTTCGTGTGGATCCTCAGCGGCACCACCCGCACAGATGTGAACCTAGGGTAAAACCCAGAAGCTGACTGGTTTCCATGAAGAGCTGCACAAGATTTTAGTGAATCAACTCCACTGTACTGTACTTTTGTCAGCTGTATAGGTTTAAAAGTACTTAAAGTACTCCAGTCACAATGTAGAAAAATAAAAGTCAGCAGCTACAAAAACTGTAGCTGCTGACTTTTAAAAAAGACACTCACCTGTCATTTGATCCTGCAGTGTTCTCACTGCAGCTGGTTTTACCGGCTGTCCTTTCACCCCGGCACCGTCATTTTCAGCATGGGCACCCAGTTGTGACAGCTTGAACACCTTCACAGCCGGGTGCACACTGCGCATGCATGAGTAGCGCTGCGCTTTCTGAATGGTCTTGTAGTCTTCGGGGACCTGTCACGTGACCCAGAAGGCTACAAGGAGGGAGGGGGGAGGACAACTTCTGCTTCCGAGCACCTGGGTGATCGCAGTGGGAGCGGGTACCTGTCAAAATCGTGTATCCCCAAAGGTGCCAATCCTTAATGGCGAGCGGGGGACGAAGCCTTAAAGCGGACCTTTCCCTTTTGGGTGGAGCTGCACTTTAAAGAGATCCTGTTACTAAGCAGACTTTTTAAGCTAAGCACAGTACATAAAATGCGTGAGTACTGCTCGGTGTCCCTGTGTTTCTTTTGAATGGAACAGCCTTTGCCTAGTTGATACTAGAATCAGCTTCCAGGGGTGTTGGAACATAAAGTCACCAGCTGATTATGCTTTCCTGTTCAACCACACAATTCTCTGCCAGACTCTTTGGCGTTGTGAGTTAGATTCCCCACTCTGCTCTAAATACATTTCACTCTAATTGCTTTCCGATTTACTATGGTCTACCCATGTTTGCTGTTTTTATTTTGATCTTTCATTCTCAGCCAAGGTTGCACAGCATATGGGGCTTTAAAAAATAGCATTTTACATGTAATTAGTAAATACACATTTGCACCATGATACTTTTTACACTTTAACCTCTGTTTTTCCTGATTTTATCAATGGATTTCTTTTTAGGACCTGACAAGGTTATACGCTTGTGGGACCCTGAGGTAGTCAACAAACCTGAGGCAGAGTTGCATGGTCACTTATATTCAATTGCAGACATTGCAGTCAATGAAAAGGATCAGCATGTCATCAGTGTTTCTACTGCACGGGTAATTCAATTTTCAATTGAAATGCTAAGGGTATCATTACCACTTGAATAAAGCAAAAAGGCAGATGCTGAAGAAAACCTGTAGTGACAGAAATACAGAAGCTGCCCTTTTTTATGTTCTTCTAAAAATATTAGTTTCCTGGATGTCACTCACTACAGTACTTTCTGAGTCACATGGAACCTGCAGATTAGAAAGCCAGAAAGAAGAGAACTGTTGTTCTGCATAGTTATTCAGGTCAGTGTCTCAGAAAGTACTGAACCCATTGATTCAGCATGACAGCCAGGGAAATAGTAAGGAGAGGTCAGCAAAGGCATTTTTTATGCATTTTCAGTGCAGATTTTGTTAATGTAGCTTAGCTGTGTCTACAACATTATGAATGAGCTGTACAGGAAATATAAGGTGACATAAGAGTGGAGTAGTACCCTAAATGAAATCACCATGAAAAGGATTTCTATTCGTGATAGATTTTTAATTTTGTTTAAATCCTTATGGAAGCTCCTAGGGCAGTGTTTCCTCACCATGGTGTCGTGCCACCCTGGACAGCCGTTCCCCTGGGATTTGGTGAGCATAGGACATAGTTTGCTCTGGATCAGCATCACGAGTTGCTATGATACAGATGTGTGATGGGGGGACACTCATGAACAGGGGGGAAGGAGGGTCTGATTTGATGGGGGAGCCTCAGGTGTGATGGGTAGAATCTCTGATGTGAAGGTAATTGAATCAAGGTGGCTGTGTGCATTTTCCCAGTCTCAGGCTTTCCATGGATAAGTAATAATTCTTTTTTTTTTTTATTGGGGTGCCTTAACATTTTGCATCCTTTAAAGGGTGCCACAACTGAAAACAAGGTTGTAAAATGCTGCCTTAGGGTTCCAAGTGCATGGAGCACTTGATCCCATTCTGATTTGTGCCTTGGCTGCTAAGTCAGAATAGTCAACAGACCACCCCCCATCTCTCACTGTTTAACCAGGCTGCTCACAAGGAGACAAGTTGTGAAGCTGAATTCCAGGAATTCAGTAACTTTGCAAAATGTACAGGCACACTATGAGTTATGTCCAGTTAGGTGCATATTGCCTCCTGATTTTATCTCAGTTATATGTGACAGGTTTATTGCACTCCCAGAGGATATACTACAGCTGTGAGGAGAAAAGCACACAGAGCAGCTATGCCCGCCCCTCCCCTCTGCTGCCCATTCACATATGCCTTTGTATTTTGTGAATGAGTTCACATAATATAAAGGCTCCTGTGAATGGGCAGAGGAGGGCAGGGGCGAGCATAGCAGTTTCAGCAACTCTGCTCTTAAAGGAAATGAGACTAGAGTGGGAAGTGTTGGAGCTTTGGAAGTTATCTTCCTGGAGCATAGAGATAAGAGATAGATAAGAAATAGAGATAAGTCTAAAAAGTGGCAGGCAACTCTTTGTACTTAACTCATGGTATGCCTGCAGTTTTTACAAAGTAGCTGAATTACTGGAGTTCAGCTTTAATAAGGTCTGTCTGATGGCACACACAGGAAAGAGAGGGTGGTGACATACAGTGCACACATAGAAGAGGGGGATAACCATATAGTGCTACCCCCATAGGAGCTGCTGGTTAAAATGGGTCCTCTGTTCTTTGCTTTGACCTCCATAAGAACTTCAGCCCCTCTGAAACACTTGGTTGAGTATACAAAGCATGCAATAACACAGAAAATCACTGAAGGTAACAACTGGTATCCAGTAATAATACCATGTCCAGGTAAACTTAATATATTGCCTACTGATATAGTAGGCAATGAAGCAAGCATGACAATGGATTAGCAAAGGTAATAATACAATTTACCATACAGAGTGATTAGTAGTAAGGACTAGACATAAGATGACACTTGAGGTCCAGATCAGCATAAACAGTAATAAAGCTTAATTTACCAGATACAGGAGGCTATACTGCCGAAGCACATTCATGACGACTATGCTAGGCCTATACTAACTGTGCACTATCCATCAAAATGAAAGACAGGGGAGAAGAGATCAGAAAGGACTTGCAGAATGGTCTTGCAGAATGGCAGTCCTTGAAGTTGTTTTTCTGTTGGCTATCGTTGGCTCCCTTTAAGAAGTGGTGGTGTACTTAATGACAGTTTTAGCAAACCAGCATTCAGTATAGTTGCAGTAAAGATGCAGTCAAAGTGCAGTATAGGTGTGGTACAGGTGCAGTGTAGATGTGGGTCAAATACAGCAACCGTTCGGTATAACTGCAGTATTGGGTTAGTATGGGTGCAGTATAGGTTTGGTAGAAGTGTGGTATAGGGCTAGTATACTGTAGATATGGTATGGGTTTGGTGCACTTGATATCCTGCTCTTAGTGGCTCAGTCTTTACTAGCAGTGTCAATAATGGGCGGAAAGTCCTTTCACCAGTTCCTAGGATGCTACCTGTAGAAGGGCCCCCCCCTTCTCTCCCTGAAAGCCTCCAATGATCAGCGGTATGAGAGGAGGCTCCAGTCTCTTTGCTGCAGCGGTGCAGGAGATGTGCTGTGGGGCGGTGCTGCACTGGCCCCAGGTGTCCTCACTTCCAGTCTCAGGTTTGCATCACTGCTGGTAGGATAATCCTCAGACAGAGGTACTCTCTGATGTCTTTCTTAGTCATAAATATAGGGGGTGGTGAGCCCCGGAAGTCTATCCCACTCTCTGATCTGATAAGCCTATCATTTACTAATATTGCTATATGTATGAGGGGCATTCAAGTTAAACCTTTTGAATTTATATAATAAACTTTTGAATTTATATAATAAAATTACAAATTTCAAAGAATGGAAACAGCATTTATTTTTCTACATACTCCCCTGCTACATTTATACACTTGGCTTATATTTAAACTAATATTTAAACTTATCTTTAACTAATGCCTTGAAAGCTTTGGCTTAGAAAGATTTGTTAGTACGCCTGAACCATCCTAAGTCAGCCTGCTTCATTTCATCATCATAAGTGCTGAAATACTGACCACAGAAAGATTTCTCTCGTGCAATTCCGCAACAAGTTATGTGTCAATTATCCAGGATCAGGCGTTACACGCGCTCAATGTTCACAGGATTGACTGCTGTGGGCTGGGAACCACCACACCCAGGATCGACACTGACAGACGTACGGCCATCTTTGAAACATTTACACCATTTAAATGTCTTACTGCGGCTGAGCGTCTCATCACCGTACTGTGCTTGAAGTCTTCTGTAGATATCCGCGGGTTTTACACCTTCCTTCACAAGAAACTTGTGCCATGCACACACTAACACTGTTGTCTGCCATCTTGTTTAATGGTCCCTGGACTGGCCCGCAACATATGCGCTGCCTGTCAGTAATAGTAACACGTGTCACTTACTACTGCATGTAGTACTTCTACGCTAGCATCCCTTTTTATACCTGTAAAATGAAAAGTCCCGGTTTGACTTGACCGCTCCTCGTAACTACTATACTGCTATATGTGACTGCAGAAACATGTAAGAGGAGACATTTCCCTCTTTACAGTCAGTTTACTTTCACTTTTTGTTGTTGTGCTAAATGTTGTGTTGCACTATCCCCTCCAGTCAGCAGAAGGAGAACTATAGTCAGAAAAGCCTGTGGTTTCCTATGCATAATGCTAAGGATCATGGGATTTAAAGTTCAGGAAGTAAGAAATAGTGGAGCTTATAGAGCCTTTGCACTATAATTCTCATTCTCAGACTGTCCAGTTAGGTTCTTTTTCTTAGTGCCGAGGAAACTTATGAGAGCACATCTGCTGCATACTGACCAGACTGCTGAGAGGCCAGACCAGCGGAGACACCCAAGGCAGAACAGGATAGACTGCAGTGACTGCACTGGCACCGTTGCTGCAGGTAGACCAGAGCATCCTCTCATCTTCTAATTCCCACTGGTGAATCTTTGGATGCATTCTGTGGAGAGACTGAGGGGCTCACCTTCCTACAGCGAGAGTTCACAGCTGTACCACAGGTACTGGTGAGAGGGCACTGCCCATTGTTCACACTGCTGGCAGAGACTGAGTTACTGGAGGAAGGACATTTAGTATACTGCACCTATACTGCACCTTTACTGCATCTTTGCGGGACCTATATTGCATGCTGGTTTACTAAAACTGTTGTTAAGTGCACCAATGCTTCGTAAAGGGCCCCAACGATAGCTGGAAGAAGAACAACATAAAGTACTGCCCCTTCCGTACCATCCTGGAATTCCCCTTTGTTCCCTTCTCCCCTTTCCTTCATTTCTATGGACAGTGCACTTAGGTCTAGGCCTAGCATAGTCACCATTAATGCACGTTGGCAGTATAGTTCCTGTGTTTAGTAAATTAGGCATTATTACTGCTGACTGCTGCACTGTAGGTGACCTTGCTGCCGTTTATGCTGATCTGGACACACTGGGGTTGATTTACTAAAACTGGAGAGTGCAACATCTGCTGCAACTCTGCACAGAAACCAATCAGCTTGCAGTTTTTTTTTGTAGATTGCCTGCCATAACATTTTACATGCTTTTTAAAATACATTTACTGGCCTAACCCTCTAGCTTTTTTACATCTGCTGGGCTTTCTTTTAGTCTTCTAATGGGTGGATTTGGACTTTAAATTAACCTGTACATGTGCATTTATTTTTAATACTCTGCTTGCTAAAATAATCAAATGCAATTTTTCTATGCGAGTGCCTCGTGGTATATTTAACAAATACTAGCAGGCTTAACAAAGTTAGTTTTATACAGTAAATAAATAAACAAACACAATTCAATTAAATGATTTTGTAATCAGTACAATATGATTCAGAACAAAAGAGAGAGAATTTTAGTAAAGCAAAGTAAATCTCCCCTTACATTGTTGTCCCCATCAGAGTCCCTCTCAGCATCCCCCCTTACATCAATGTCCCATAACAGTTCCCCTTACATCAACGACCCCATCATAGCCCCCTTTACATCATGGTTCCTATCAGAATCCCCCCGAACACCAGTGTGCCCCCATCAAAGTCCTCCTTTATATCAGGGTTCCCATCAGAATTCCCCCTACATCAGTGTCCCTATCAGAGTCCCAACTTGAATCAGTGTCCCCTTAACATCAGTGTCCCCATTGGACTCCCTTTTACATTAGGGTCCACAATAGAGTCCTTGTTTACATCATGGTCCCTATTAGAAATCCCTTGTACATTGATATCTCCATTAGTATGCCCTCTTACATCAGTGTCTGCATCAGAGTCCCCCTTAGATCAATGTCCCTATCACAGCCCCCTTATATCAGTGTCCCCATCAGATTCCCATTTACATCAGTGTCCCCCTTTACATCAGGGTCCCTATCAAAATCTGCCTTTACATCAGGGTCCCCATTAGAATTTCCCCATACATCCGTATCCCATCAGAGTCCCCCCTTACATCAGTATCTCCATCAGAGTCCCCCTTTACATCAGTGTCCCTAGCAGAACCCCCCCCTTATTATATCAGTGTCCCCATTAGAGTCTCCCCTACTTCTTAAATTTGATTTACAGCATGGCTGTATTTGTATAGCAGCAGGGCGAGAGCCAGGTGGCAGAACAGGTAAGGATGAGGAAGTTCCATCATTCTGTGCATGCATCGGCAAGCGTGTCATTGGATGCTAAGATGTTAGTGGAGCGGTGGGGAGGGTAACCTGCGCTGGAGACTGTACAGTGGGGGTTGGTTGTTAAGGGATGAAGAAGAATCAGGGCTGTGGACATCATTTGTGAGGTGTGTAAAATCCTAAAGCAGGCCTCAAATACTTTCGAGAACCCTGTTTTAAAGAATAATTGTGCTTGTGACTTTCTAATGCTTAGTTATATAAATAATTCCAAGTACCGGTAATTAATTTTTGCAGTATTTAACGTGCCATAGTACTTCATCCATCATTAATTTTATTTTAATACATGTTACTATCACAGCAATCCTTGAAATATTAAATAAAGTTCATCATAAGGAATGGCAGACAAAATAATCTCTGTATTTATGTGTTTCAGGGGTTTAGAGTATGGGATATACAAACTCATTCACTACTGCAAGTCTTTACTGACACACAGCAGGGACCAGGGGATCGCAGAGTAAATTCAATGGTATTTGACAACAAAAACCTTAGACTCCTCACTGGTAAGGTTAATTGGATATGTAGAAACATACCTTAGTGTATTTACCTTTTATGTATGGAACATTAACAAATGGTATGTTTTGCTGTTATTATGTGTCCTACACTATCATGGTTGCAAAAAGCTGTTGCTTGTACACGGTAAAATGAGAAAAAAGTACTGTTGTACACGGTAAAAAGTACTGTTGTACTGCCAACATACATAGGGTTTTCACCTTATCTCTGTGTGGTTGTGATCAATAGTTTAATTTGCAGTAATGGACACCATTTTCTGCCCATGGAAAGGGTGGTGTTTTTGTTGGATTCCATAGTTCTCAAACACTGATTGTTGGAAGGGGCTTGGGTGGGCTTACGTTAAGGGAACTTGTCAGGACAGAAATATGGATGTTGTCATTATAGACTTGTAGGCAGGTTGAGGTCAGCTAGTATGGTTGCCTCAGCAGGAGGAAAGTGGTAAAGTCTTTTTGCCACCACTCTTTAGGTCCAACCCACTGATCTTGCGAAGTATAAAAGAAGACGGGTATGGATTCTGGGGGGAGTACTTTGTTGGTTTAGGCCGCTACCAGGTGATTGGGGTGTCGCCTGCCTGGGCCAAGCCAGCCACTCAAGACACCAGCATCTGAATTCAGCCTTGATGGACTGTGCCAAGAATGGACTCTTACCTGTGCAGGTATGATGGGACAGCCATAGCTGTAGGTTCAGTTAAGAAAATAACTATTTGCTCTCTTAACCATTTTAACGCCTGGTCTGAAGTTATTCAAAGGGGTGTATGAAAGCAACCAGCACATTACACATAGCCTTCTACAGTCTGGGTCAGATAAAGCACTTTGGGGTAGGAAGACGGCCTCTGCAAGAGTTAACTGGGTACAGAGTTAAAGCAAGTACTGTAGTTTCCAAGAGTAATGGAAGTCTAGTAACCAGTACAACCTGCCTGTCATGAAGTGTGGTACCGGTGATAGGTGGGGTGTCCTCTAGTAGACGGGGTTGCTGTAGGGACCCCCTTTCCAAGCGGTCTGTCTCCCATAGCAACTGAAGCAGATCAGCGCCACAGAGGTCCTCGGCCTGGCCACTAGGTACAGAAGAGGAAGCGTTAACATGCACAAATGAGGTCTCTGCTAGGTGTACAGTGGGACCCCATTCTGTCGCTGGAAGTCAGGTGACAGAGATATGCTGGATGGGTGCAGTGGGCATAGGCTCAGTGTGTCCCACCTAAATGCAAACCATTACAGTTAAGGTGTGCATTGACACAGGACCAGAGGGTTATCTGGAGTCCAGTTTGTTCACTCAGTGTACGTTGTGTATGGTCTCTAAGTTGGGGGACCACCACAAGGTTGAATTTCCCTGAAAGCAGTCCCAGCCTCATCCAAGGGCATTGATGAGCAGGACACAGTAAAGGTACCCTATGTGTAGGGTGAGGGACCCTGTCCACGGTGTCTAGTATATCCCAGAAGAGCCCACACCGAGAGTAACCCCACACTTGGTGCTCAGCATGGGAACAAGGAGGAAGACCTACCTATTCCCCAGGTCAGCTCCATAGGCTTGCTTTTCAAAGTGTAGTTTACCTTAAAAAAATGTGCATATTAGGTATAGAGAAACCTGATATGCACATGTATATTACATTTTTAATATAAAAAAATGATTAGTTAAACACACAATAGCTTTTTTATACTGGTACTATTCCTTTAAAGTGGCTGTTGAAATTTACAATTGCAACAATTTGGAAATTGGATGAAAGGTTTAGCGCTATAAAACATTTTTTAAAATGTAAATAGTGAATTTTATAGAGGTATGTACATCAGACCAAAATGAGGGACAAATGAGGAAGGAAGTGGGATAGAGGGACTTTGTTCTTAAAGAGGAATAGTACCTCCACATAAGGGACAGTTGGGAGCTGTGCTACAGGAGGGCCAGTGGATTGAATCACAGCATGTGACAGGTTACGCAGGCTTTTACCACATCTAAAAAAGTGTGAGAGACGATTCTTCAGATGATCATAGCTCTTGAGTTAAGTGAATATTCCAGGAATTTTGCAGTTGACTATTTAATATAAAAACATAAATGTAGTAAATGTGGCTGTTTTATCTGTCTGTTCTGCTTTATAGCTACAGTACTGCATATCTTAAACCAAAACAAGTTTTAGTTTTGAACATTGCAGATTGTCACCACTTGGACACAATGAACACCCTTTAAAAGAACAGACAATATAAATACCTTTCCAGCAG